ACATCATGCACAGGCCCTGCTTTATCACACTCAAACATGATAATCCAGTGAAACTGATATTATTATATCATTTTCCAGATGAGGAAATTGAGAGTCGAAGAAGTTCTCCAAGTCATATAGCTGGAAAATGGTGACGGTGTAATTCAGATGAGCTCTGTATATCTCAAAGCCTGAACCATTCTTCTGGTTTCAGAAACTAAAAACTTTTAGGCTCTGTCCTCTACCTGAACCAAGATGGACTCTATGTAATATGTTTATTGATGTTTAAAGATGACCTGGCTGAAGGTGACTACTATTCTGTGTGTCCTGAAGCAGCTGAGACCAGCGTGTGACTGCCTCAGGGACAGCACACTTGGACAAGAATAAAAAGGCCCAACCCTCGGTGGAGGTTGTGCCAGGCACTTGGGGGCGAGGCTGGGCAACCAGCCTGCTGGCCTCCAGCGCCCTGGAGGTCCAAGCAGCCCCTTGCTTTGCCATTTTTGGCTGTGCCAGCTCAGTGAGCGGCACGGTTCCTCAGTCAGGTTTTGAGCCCGGGCCACTGCAGGGAACGCGCAGAAACCTAACCGCTGGACTGCAAAGGAATTCGTGCCCCATTGCTAGGCTAACTGCACGTAAAGATGAGCCTTCACCAGGAGGGCCTGAGAGGCCCAGTCTGTCTCCACAGCATCGTGGTGGATACTAGCGGTACACTGGGCTTCCCTGGCAGCTCAGACGGTAAAGAATCCTCCTGCAAAGCGGGAGACCTGGCTTCAATCCCCGGGCTGGGAAGATCCCCTGGGGGAGAGCATGGCAACCCACTCCAACAATCTTGCCTGGAGAATCCCATGGACAGAGGAGCCTGATGGGCTACAGTGCAAGGTCACAAAGAGTCGGACACGACCGAGCGACTAAGCAACGACGCACATGCACACACAGGGCACTGAGGAAATGGGAACTGTGGGGAGGCGGCCCCGAGGACAGCAGGCGGCCCCCACTACAGAGGGCCCCACCACGGCATCTGGCCTGTGGAGAGGCGGCCCCCACTCCTGAGGGCCCCATCACTGCATCTGGCCTGTGGAGAGGCGGCCCCGAGGACAGCAGGCGGCCCCCCACTCCAGAGGGCCCCATCACTGCATCTGGCCTGTGGAGAGGCAGCCCCGAGAACAGCAGGCGGCCCCCCACTCCAGAGGGCCCCATCACTGCATCTGGCCTGGCCTGTGGAGAGGCAGCCCCGAGGACAGCAGATGGCCCCCACTCCAGAGGGCCCCTATCACTGCATCTGGCCATGACCTCGTGCTGTTTGACACCCAGGACCAGGCGGTCAGGCAAGCACGGCTGGCTCCACCACCCTCTCCCATCACAGTATACTTGAGATGGCTTCCTTCCCACCTGTGGTCTCAGTCCTGTTCTCACTCCAAACCAAACAGGAGATGCTCAGCGAGTGGCAGGCCATGTTCTATGCCTCAGCATCCAACCTTTTAGTCTTGCTATCTAATTTAGTGCCTGGCTGGTCATTCATATCACTTTAGGAAATATTTAGCCTTATGGGAACGGAAGTCCTGAGTGAATAGGAAGGAGGAATGATAAATATATTTTCCACTGGGGAAATAAGGAACATGAAAGGTTCAGAACTTAGAGCACTTTTAGGAAGAGTCAATGATGCCCTAAATTATACACCTAGGAGAAATGAGGAGGCTAAATACAGAAGTTATTCTGAGGGAGATTGGAGGGTGAGTCAGGCAGACCACTGACTTGGCAGATGGAAGGTGGGGGTGGCAGGGAAGTGGAATTTCTTTCTCTTTTCACCACCTATGCAAAGTTCCTCAAATGTCGATGAGATTCTGAAGCTTGTGAAAATGGAGCTTCATGGGCCCTACCCTTAGAGCCCCTAAGTGCCCTGCTGGGGTAAGCCTCTAGCACATTTGTGTCCCCAGGCACAGCACAGTATTCACATCACTTGGTCTGAAGATCAAACCCTGAGAATCACTGCTGTCCTGTGATCTGACAGGTGTGTCACAGATTTTAAAAAATAATAATAATTTATTTTTCGCTGTTCTGGGTCTTTGTTGCTGCACTGGCTTTTCTCTAGTCATGGCGAGCAGGGACTACTTGCCAGTTGCGGTGTGCAGGCTTCTCATTTCAGTGGCTCCTCTGGTTTCAGAGCACAGCTCTAGGGTGCACAACCTTCAGCAGTTGCGGCATGTGGGTGCAGTAGTTGAGCTCTCTAGAGCACAGGCTCACTACCTATGGCACTCCAGCTTAGCTGCTCCTGCGCATGAGGAATTTTCTCAGACCAGGGATCAAACCTGTGTCTCCTGCATTGGCAGGAAGATTCTCTACCGCTGAGCCACCAGGGAAGCCCCTATATCACAGACTTTTAGAAGTTGAGTAATGATTCAGAGAGCTATCACTCACAATTTGAGAGCAGTTACCAATAAATCTCTGAGAAGAAAAGATTGTTTTGCTTACTTCTAACCTCTACTTTCAGAGAAGGCAGTGGCACCCCACTCCAGTACTCTTGCCTGGAGAATCCCATGGACGGAGGAGCCTGGTGGGCTGCAGTCCATGGGGTCGCTGAGAGTCGGACACAACTGAGCGACTTCACTTTCACTTTTCACTTTCACGCATTGGAGAAGGAAATGGCAACCCACTCCAGAGTTCTTGCCTGGAGAATCCCAGGGACGGGGGAGCCTGGTGGGCTGCTGCCTATGGGGTCGCACAGGGTTGGACACGACTGAAGCGACTTAGCAGCAGCAGCAGCAGCAGCAGCAGCCTCTCCTTTTAAAGCCTGAGTGTCGGACTTCCCTGGTAGCACAGTAGAAAAGAACCTGCCTGCCAACGCAGGGGACACAGGTTCGATTCCTGGTCCGGGAAGATTCCACATGCCTTGGAACAACTAAGACTGGGTGCCACAACTATTGAGCCTGCACTTCAGAGCCTGAGCTCTGCAACAAGAGAAGCCACAACAGTGAGAAGCCTGAGCACCACAACTGGAGAAAGCCCTTGCACAGCAACAAAGATCCAGTGCAACCAGAAATAAATAAAATTATTAAAAAAAAAAATAAAGCCTGAGTGTCTTTACCCTATATCCACATTTATCCCTTTCCCCGCCTGAAGAAGGTGTGGCTTTATTACAGAACCATGCCAATGCAGTGTTTTTAAAGTTTGTGGGGAGGCGGCATTATTGGGCAGGGGTAAAGCTGCTAAACTAAAGGGTGGATGTGACCAAGGGAGGGGGAGCTGCCTCCCTTAGCTACGCTGACTGTCGGTGTTAAGCTGTGGTCCAGCTGACTCTGCTCAAAGGGAAGGCCCAAACAACACTGCTGTCCTCTGCAGGTTGCACCAGCCCAGACAGGACAGCCTTGGCAGTCAGTCATTTTCTGGATGCCAAATAGAGCAGAGGGAACATCTCTGAGTCCAAGGGATAGCAAAGCACTTCATACAGAGGGCTTAATTTGCCTCTTTTTCCAAACAAACAAAATAACAGCTTGATCTTTTCCTTCCCCAGGAATAGGACAAAAGGAAAAGTCGGTATTTGTGAAGTGGTTCTCATGTAAGTGTCTATTTTAGTGGAAACAGATAACAAGCTCATGCTGCAGGAGAAAGCTACCCTTCCCCCAACACTGGAGTGGCGGATGGAGGCAGAAGCACTGTTGCCTCTCCACCCCGCCCTCTGGGCCCCACTGCAGCTCTAACCCCAGCTGTGCGCTGGACTGAGGGCAGTTTCGCACAGGCAGTGCCCAAGAGCAGGACGAAGGGTCCCGCAGAGGGGGCTGTATTTTCTGCTGGCAGATTCATATCGACTCAGTCTTCACTCTAGGGAAGAGTCAGCATCTCAAGTTGGAAAAAAGAAGGTATGGTAGTACCGCCTTTGAAGGGAAGGGCACCTCTGAGTGCTGGAAGCTGCAGTGAATTGGGAGTTGGTCTACCTTGCCCCTTCTCTGGCGCTGCCAATGTGAACTCACACGCCCTTGAGAAGGCGGTGCCCTTAACAATGGCTTGTATGCATAGTTGGTTCTCTGCATCTGCAGTTCAGATTCCACCAACTGCCAATGGAAAATATTTGAGAAAAAAATTTCAGAAAGTTCCAAAAAGGAAAACTTGAACTTGCCAGCAACTGTGTACATAGCATTTAAATTATATAGCTATTGTAAGTAATCTAGCGATGACTGAAATTATATGGGCTGCATGTAGATTATATGCAAATACTATGCCACTTTATAGGGTGTTCCTCATAGCTCAGGTGGTAAAGAATCTGTCTGCAATGCAGGAGACCTGGGTTCGATCCCTGGGTTGAGAAGATCCTTTGGAAGATGGCAAGGCAACCTACTCCAGTCCTCTTGTTTAGAGAATCCCATGGAGTTGCCTGGTGGGTTACAGTCCATGGGGTCACAAGGAGTCAGCTATGGCTGACATACTTTACCTTTATCTTTGGTGAGGAAAGGGTTACAAAGAACCAAGCAAATAGCTTTGGGCCCTGGAATAGTTTGTCCATTACAAAACATCGTCCATTACAAAAAATTACCATCATCCACTCTTTGCCTGCCCCATTCCCTGCCCACATTTGAAAACTCCCTGGTGGGTCAGATGGTAAAGAATCTGCCTGCAATGCAGGAGACCTGGGTTCGACCGCTGGGTCGGGAAGATCCCCTAGAGAATGGAATGGCAATCCACTCCAGTATTCTTGCCTGGAGAATCCATGGACAGAGGAGTCTGGTGGGCTACAGTCCATGGGGTAGCAAAGAGCTGGACACGAATGAGTGACTAACACTTCATGCCACTTTATACAAGGGACTTGAGCATCCCAGATTTTGGTAACCGTGGGGGTCCTGGAACAAATCCCTCATGGATACTGAGGGATATATATAACAAGAGAGGGTTAGATTTGCTATCTCCAAGGCCCATGAAATCAGATTAGAAGTTCAGTGAAATGCTCTTCGTAGGCCTCAAATAAGCACTGTTGGGTTGCATTATCTACAGACGAGCACGGCATGAGGGTGTGTCAGGTACTTCAGCGTTACCTGTCCTGTCTCAGTATAGGCGTGGGCAGCACGCTTGTCAGGAGCCATCCAAACTCAGCCAGAGTGTGCAGCAGAGGACCGTAATCTGTCTTGATTTCACAGCCCTGCGTGAATAAGCACAGAGCTCACAGTCTAAGGGCAAAGACAGTAAGTGTGCTGACGGTGCTGACAGTAAGGGCGGGGAGTGTTGGGATAAGCGGCATTCACGCTCCATTAAGGGCAGCTTCACCAGTCTTCTTTTCTGCTTCCTGCTGCTTCCTGACCATTCAACCAGACTGGAAACCCTGGGGATCTGAGTGGAGGAGGTTCTCTAAGGTTTGGGCCTTCCTTCCCTAGGTCTTGTTTGGGCATCAAACTTTAATGTATAGGGTGGGGGCTAGGAATTTGCATTTTAAAAAGCTCCCTGGGTGATTTGGATCCAAGGAGAGCCCACACTTTCAGAAACACTGGTCTAGGGCCTGGGAAGTGAGGACTGGAGTAGAGAGTGAGCATTGAGGAGGTGAGAGGAGCAAAGAATGTTCACTTCTTTTCACTCACTTGGAATTGATTCTTACTTGGAGTTTTCCTCTTATCCCACATCATTGTGTCCCACCTCAATGGGGTTTCCAGTTTCCTTGATAATGGCCTATGTCTCTCTAAGCTTGGCAAGGCCAGAAAGACGAAAGTGTCCTTGAGAGAGGCTGTCAGTGAGGGCCTCACACACCAGCAAATATAGCTGAATTCAGTCTGTACACCTCAACGGCAGTCCATTTGGTGACACCTGAATTCAGAGCGCACAATGCTGACAGCAAAGTCACCTCTTATTAGGAAGGACAATGCTGTGTGTACATATTTGGTCTGGTGAGAGAAAGAATACCTTGGGATATTTTTGCCTTTGAAAGTCAATTCACAGGGTGAAAAAGTCAGTCACATTGGTTGCTCAAAGACAAAACTGAATTTGTTTTCACTTTCATCTAGTTGTCTTGGCATTGTGTACAGAGAATCTCAGTGCCAGGGATGTTGTTTAGAATAAGAATGTCGAACGTTTGGGAATCTACTGCTATTTATGTATAATTATTTTGCTATCTTTAAACAAATCTGAACATTGAGTAAAACAAATCACCTTTTCCCAAATTAGCAAGAAGTTTGTTCAAGTATTTGTGATGAAATTCTGAACACTGAATAAACATATGTTTGAAGAATATTGTCTGTGTTAGGCAATGAAGATCTAAATGTAAAACTCAATATAAAAGTAAAGCTAAATTATAAAAAAACTGCAGTTTACCTCAATAACTGTCCATTGTTCTACTACGATGGCATCATTTCCTTTCCTGCTGAAACCTGGTACTCCAGAGCCTTCTTCTTCATAGATAAAGAATCCTTCCAAAGATTTTGACAAGTGATCCCCTGTGAGGAAAAAGATACAATTAAGGAGAGTTGCACATTTTCAGTGTCTTTTCAGATCATCTAAAGTGTTAATAAATAACCCTTAGGGGAAGCTGAAATAAAAATATATAAATTAATAAATACTTGTTTTAGGTGAATCTATGACATTTCCCTTCTCTTTGAGGTAATTTCTTTCTTTTTTTTTTGCAAAAGTTAAGACAGTTTTATACCTAACTGAATTAAAATCAAATTGTAAACATGAAGACTACAATAACAAACACAAGATAAAATAATATCATACAGTGAGAAGCAAATGGATTTCTTAAGCCTAAAAACATCTGGAAATCACCTTCACCTGGAAATCAAATGCTGGTTTCTGCTCTACATGTTGTATGCACGTCAATCATACCACTAAGAAAAATGGCATCAAAATTATTAATCCTTGAAATTACAGGTGTGATATCAAAACCAAGGTGAGGTAAGATTATTTTAAAAAATATGAATACAGAACAATTCTTTGTTTCAATGATGCTTAACAAAAAAAAGAATGGTAACAGGAAGATCCTAAACAGAAGTCATTGTCAAAAGAATTCCTGCTGGGAAGGAAGTTTGAGGGAGGGCCTCTCTGACATTTTTTGAACAGTTGACAATAACCAGCTGGCCAAAACTAAACTGATTTTATGGAAATTCTTTTGTCTCCTACTGCTAAGTAGGACGATTTTCCCATGATCATGTGCTGGTTAACCATTTTGTTTTTATACTGCACAATGTCACATCAAAGTTTCCCTGATGGACGATTATCCAAATAATAACCTACAAAGTTTTCAAAACATCTATTAAGCTTAAAGACCAAAAAACAAACAAACAAACAAACACCAAAGTAATTCAAATGTAATTTTCAGTTTTCATTTTTATTAACAAGCTATAAAACTTTAAGAGAAAATCACTATTACTATTTTTATATCAGTTTGGGCAGAATAACATGAAGAATTTACTTTGTTCAGCATGGTTCCCAAAACCCAGTAAAGTTTAATTTACTTGTTGAAATTGCTATTCTAACTACAGTATATGTTCCACTTCCTTTAAATGTACTTGTCTACTGTCATACCAAAGTGATGCATAGAATTAAACCTGTTTTTGATCATCAGTTTAGAGTATCACAAGAACATCTTTAAAATTGTATATTTGCCTCAAGTCCTTTTTTAGAATAGGGGTATGAATTTTAAGAATAATTATATACTGTGATAATTATGTAGTTAATTGTAGTCTTTTCTTATTTACTTTAGGATTATATAGTTGGAGAACTATGGGTTTTGTGGTGTCTGTTTTCCTGTTCTCAGTATTGAGATTCCATAGTACTTCTAAACTTCTTTTGGTTTAAAAGAATGAAAATGTGGTAGACTCACACATTGCAATACCAAAAAGAATAAAAAAGAAAGATTCACTGGAATACAACAACATGGATAACTGTCAAAGACACCATGGAATATTACTCAGCCGTTAAAAAGAATTCATTTGAATCAGTTCTAATGAGATGGATGAAACTGGAGCCCATTATACAGAGTGAAGTAAGCCAGAAAGAAAAAGAACATTACAGCATACTAACACATATATATGGAATTTAGAAAGATGGTAATGATAACCCTATATGCAAAACAGAAAAAGAGACACAGATGTATAGAACAGACTTTTGGACTCTGTGGGAGAAGGCGAGGGTGGGATGTTTCAAGAGAACAGCATCAAAACATGTATATTATCTATAGTGAAACAGATCACCAGCCCAGGTTGGATGCATGAGACAAGTGCTCGGGCCTGGTGCACTGGGAAGACCCAGAGGAATCGGGTAGAAAGGGAGGTGGGAGGGGGGATCAGGATGGGGAATACATGTAACTCCATGGCTGATTCATGTCAATGTATGATAAAACCCACTTCAATACTGTGAAGTAATTAGCCTCCAACTGATAAAAATAGAGGGGGAAAAAATTGTATATTTGCCTCAAGTCCTTTTTTAGAATGGGGGTATGAACTTTAAGAATAATTATATACTGTGATAATTATGTAGTTAATAGTAATATTTTCTTATTTACTTTAGGATTATATACTTGGAGAACTATGGGTTTTGTGGTGTCTGTTTTCCTGTTCTCAGTACTGAGATTCCTTAGTACTTCTAAACTTCTCTTGGTTTAAAAGAATGAAAATGTGGTAGACTCACACATTGCAATACCAAAAAGAATAAAAAAGAAAGACTCACTGGAATACAACAACATGGATAACTGTCAAAGATACTATGTTGAGGAAAAGAAGTGAGGAGATATAGAAAACATACTGTATAGTTCAACCTACATGAAGTTCAGAAATAAGCAAAATTAATCTATGGTGCTGGAAGTCAAAACAATGCTTCTCTCTGCATGGGAGGGTATTGATGGGGAAGGGCCATAAGGAGGCCTTCTGGGATTTCGGAAATGTTCTGTATCCTTGTTTTTTTTTTTTTTTTTTTTTTGCCTTTTACCCCTCAATATTGAGATATAGTTGATATATAAGGAAATGTTCTGTATCTTGAATATTTGTGTTCTATTCAGCTATATACATATTAATGCACCTTGTTCTATGTATCTTATAATTTCAGTTAAAAACAAAAGACATTCCTTCTCACTTTAGAGTTCCTCAAGTCCCCTGGCTAAGCTTTCTTAGGGACCATGCTGGTCCTCAGAGACACAGAAGAATGATACTTCCCAGAAGGGACTATTTCTATCTCTTAAGAAACTCTCCCTGACAGAAGCGGCAGCTGGGGAGGGTGGCAGGGAAGGCCTCATGGGGAGTGACCACTGGGGTGCTTGGTGTGTTATATTCCAGGTATTGGGATAAGGTGACAATTCTGAACAATTGCTTAACAACTGTCCTGAACTGACTCATCTCTTAACAGCATGAATCTCATACCTTCCCACACTGTGTGCCTGGGCCCACTGGTGTGCTCAGAATGGGGTTCATATGAGCTAAGGTACAGGGCACCCCCTCCTGCCCAAAGCAGCTTTTCTTCTTATATCCATGTGTCCTACAATATTGTTGTTGTTCAGTCGCTCAGTCGTGTCCGACTCTTTGTCACCCCACGGACTACAGCATTCCAGGCTTCCCTGTCCTTCACCATCTCCCGGAGCTCAAACCCATGTCCACTGAGTCGGTGCTGCCATTCAACCATCTCGTCCTCTGTCATCCCCTTCTCCTCCTGCCTTCAACCTTTCCCAGCCTCGGGGTCTTTTCTAACAAGTTGGCTCTTGGCATCAGGTGGCCCAGTATTGGAGCTTCAGCTTCAGAATCAGTCCGTTCAATGAATATTCAGGATTGAATTGACTGGTTTGATCTCCTTTCAGTCCAGGGGACTCTCAAGGGTCTTCTCCAACACCACAGTTCAAAAGCATCAATTCTTTGGCACTCAACCTTCTTTATGGTCCAACTCTCACATCCAAACATGACTACTGGAAAAACCACAGCCTTGACTATGCGGACCTTTGTTGGCAAAGTAAAGTCTCTGCTTTGTAATATGCTATTTAGGTTTGCCATAACTTTTCTTCCAAGAAGAAAGTGTCTTTAAATTTCATGGCTGCAGTCACCATCTGCAGTGATTTTGGAGCCCAAGAAAATAAAGTCTCTCACTGTTTCCATTGTTTCCCCATCTATTTGCCATGAAGTGATGGGACCAGATGCTGTGATCTTAGTTTTTTGAATATTGAGTTTTAAGCCAACTTTTTCAGTCTCCTCTCTCACCTTCATCAAGAGGCTTTTTTGTTCCTCCTTGCATTCTGCCATAAGGGTGGTGCCATCTGCATATTTGAGGTTATTGATATTTCTCCCAGCAATCTTGATTCCAGCTTGTGCTTCATCCAGCCTGGCATTTCTCATGATGTACAATATTATCATCTTCTATGTGTGCAGAGGGCTTCTCAGGTGGCTCAGTGGGCAAAGAATCCGCCCACAGTACAGGAGACACAGGTTTAGTCCCTGGGTTGGGAAGATCCTCTGGAGGAGGGAATGGCAACCCACTCTGGTATTCTTGCCTGGAGAATCCCATGGACAGAGGAACTTGGCAGTCTACAGTCCATAGGATCGCAAAGAGTTGGACACTACTAAAGTGCTTGAGTGTGCATGTGTGCATAATATGAAAAAGTTACAAAGAATTGACCTGATCCACTGCTTCTCAATTTTTTTTTCTGGCCTTGTGAGTAACATGTGAGATCTCAGTTTCTCCTGACCTGGGACAGAACCTGTGCCCTCTCAGTGGAAACACAAGTCTTAACCACTGGCCTGCCAAGGAAGTCCTGTGGTTAGCTTTTAAGAATGGGGAAGATGTCCATTTTGCTCATCAGTATAAACCCTATGTGCCAGGCCTAGGGTCTGGTGTGTATATATATACATATGGGGTTTCCCTGGTGACTTAGCAGTAAAAAGTCTGCCTGAAATCAAGAAGACTTGGGTTCAATCCCTGGGTCAGGAAGATCCCTTGGAGGAGAGCATGGCAACCCACTCCAGCATTCTTGCCTGGAGAAACCCCATGGACAGAGGAGCCTGGCGGGCTGCAGTACCTGGGACTGCAAAGAGTAGGACACAGTGGAGCAACTATGCACAGTAGCACATACGTACATACATACATGTGTATATGAAATGAATACATACATGTTTCAGTGTCATGACTCTACCCTACTTCTCATCCTGATACATCTCCAACTCCACACAAGCATGTTTATAGGAGTGAAGAGACTGAAATGACTGTCAAGTGGAGTCTGAAAAGAATCCACAAAACATGAAAATGTAGCCTTCAGGTGTGGGTGTACCAGAGGTAGGCAGAGGCTGTGTTCTGAGGGTGGCGGGCGCTGGCAGGCTAGTGAAGTGGAGTAACCCCAAGGGCTGTGTTGTGTGTGGTGGTGTGTTCTGTACCAGTTGGCAGAGTTGGCCATCTCATCCATGTCAGCTGCCCGCTGGATCTCTGCATGTTCTGGTGGAATAAAGTGCTTTGTCTCTGTTGGCATAACTGGATACGCCTCTTGCAGGCTCCTCTGGGTTCATTTGGGAGTTGTAAGCGTGCAGAGAACCCAGCTGCAGGCCAGTTTGGAGAAGGCCAGATGCTGGAGAAAGTCAGGAACAGGAGAAGGTTATGCAGTGAGACCCTCGGGCCACAAGAACAGCAGGAGGGTCCCTGGGTGCCCCTGTGTGTGGGACTTTTCAAAACAGAAAAGGCTTCGAAAGTGAGTGGGGAAGGGCACTGAAGAGGAATTTCACAGACCTTACAACATTTCCACCATGACTTTCCTGACTTAAATTTTTTTCTCCCACTTCTCTCTGTTTCTGGAGAAGTTTATAGAATGAGATTTGTGGAGTAATATATTTAAATTTCTGAGCAATATCTGGTTTTGTACTTCTCCTCATGTGTGGGCTGGCTTCTGACAGTATTTTGGAAGAGGATGGAAGCAAGACAAAACAAAATACGCATTGTCCCCTGCGTGCTTTGGATGTCAGGCATCAGATGTCCTAGGACAAAGGGGCCGATTCAGCCCCGCTTCCTCTGGCTTGCTTCTCATGGTGACGCGGGCACGGGTCACAATTTCCCCTCCACAGCTTCCCTGTCTGCTCCCAGGAAAGTCCCGAGTGACACACCCTGTCGCCAGACCTTACAGACCAGGCTCATTAGGGCTTGGCATGGCCTGCAGCGCAACACGCCTAATGAGACATTCCCGAGCTGCTGACAGGGAGGGACTCTCCCTGGGGCTCTCTGAATAGCTTCTGAGGCTTTGAGAACAAAGGCCCTACAGAGCCTCTGGCTGGCAACTGCTGTGGCTAATTTTATTTCCACCAGCAAGGCTCAAGGCAGGGATGCCTGAAAGACATTGTGAAAGGAGGATTTCTTTGTCTTTCCTTCAGCAATTAGTCATAATCCAAAATTTGGAATGGCTCTTTAAAGTTTTTCTTGGCCACATTACGCAGCTTGCAGGATATCCTAGTTCCCCGACCAGGAATGGAACCCAGGCCTTGATGGTGAAAGCGTGGAGTCTTAACCACTGGACTGCCAGGGAATTCCACAGTCCCCAGCCCCTTTTTTGAATGGCTCTAACTTAGACTCTTTGGAGGGAAGAGCAAGACATAGACACACAGAGAGAAATATGTGAAGCATAAACTGACCTCCAAACAGCTGATTCATACTAAAAGTATTGTAAGAACATCTTGTGTCAGGAGAGAAAACCCATCCCAGAAAATGAACTCTGACAGTGGGTGAGGCACTGTGGGAGTCACTTTGTACATAGTATATCTTACCAAATTCTCACAACAGTTAGTAGAAGTGTTTTTACACCCCTTTTAGGAAACTGAGGCTCAGTTAGCTCAGCTAACTTTCCCAAGTCACACAGCTCTAAGTAGAAGACAGAATTTAAACTCTGTTTAAATCCTAAAGTCCACAGGCTTTATATCAGATCTGGCTGTTTCCATAAAAGATCAACTTGGAAGAAGTTTCCAATAACCAAAAATACTATTAAATATTTATTGAGTACTTGCTAAGTGCCAAACACTATGCAAGGGGATGTACTTTGGGGTGCTCCAATGAGCTAGATCCTTACTCTTCCTTACTAGTTAAAGGGACCTATTGGAACATGACTTGACAATTTTAAATAACCAAAGTCTTTAGTTGTATTAGTTAAGGCATCACTAGGCTGATCTAATAATAATGAGGTTTATTGAGATCTCATCTGGTTTGCTTTTTCATTCCTCTCTCTAACCTCAGTGAATCACGGTCCCTAACTATCCTGATCTGCATAAACTCCATCCTTCCTAATGCATTTTTCCAGTCTCCTTACTATCTTTTTTTCTTTTCTTTTAGCACTAATCTCTTAAAAAGAAAAAAAAACCAACAAAAAATGCTTTTCTTAGAAATAATTTTTGGAAAGTTTTGCTTGTTTTTGTGATAGACAAATGATTACATATCCACTGTAACTAAAAGATTAGAGAAGAAAGATAAGGGAATGGCATAAATAAATATAGATCATTTTCTGAACCAAAGTTTATTTTTCTATACAAATTTTAGGAGGAGTTGGGTTTAGAGAGGAAGACAAGGTAGGTAGTATCCAAAACTGGGCTGCTGCTGCTAAGTCGCTTCAGTTGTGTCCGACCCTGTGTGACCCTATAGACGGCAGCCCACCAGGCTCCCCTGTCTCTGGGATTCTCCAGGCAAGAACACTGGAGTGGGTTGCCATGTCCTTCTCCAGTGCATGAGAGTGAAAAGTGAAAGTGAAGACGCTTGGTCGTATCTGACTCCCAGCGACCCCATGGACTGCAGCCTACCAGGCTCCTCCATCCATGGGATTTTCCAGGCAAGAGTACTGGAGTGGGTTGCCATTGCCTTCTCTGATCCAAAACTGGGCTAGTGTAATAAATTTGGATAGTAATTGTTAAATGCCATCATATGCCTCCTGACTGGGCTGCTATAGTACCTCTTATCTATTTCTGATAGTTACAACCCAACAGCAAACATTACAATAGTACCACACAGGATTGTTAAGATTTTATATTAAAGTTGCATGTGCAATTGCCAAATTCAGACTTAAATTGAAGAAAGTGGGGAAAACCACTAGAACATTCAGGTATGACCTAAATCAAATCACTTATGATTATACAGTGGAAGTGAGAAATAGATTTAAGGGACTAGATCTGATAGACAGAGTGCCTGTTGAACTATGGACGGAGGTTCGTGACATTGTACAGGAGACAGGGATCAAGACCACCCCCAAGAAAGGAAATGCAAAAAAGCAAAATGGCTGTCTGAGGAGGCCTTACAAATAGCTGTGAAAAGAAGAGAAGTGAAAAGAAGAGAAGTGAAAAGCAAAGGACAAAAGGAAAGATATATACCCATTTGAATGCAGAATTCCAAAGAATAGCAAGGAGAGATAAGAATGCCTTCCTCAGCGATCAATGGAAAGAAATAGAGGAAAACAACAGAACGGGAAAGACTAGAGATCTCTTCAAGAAAATTAGAGATACCAAGGGAACATTTCATGCAAAGATGGGCTCAATAAAGGACAGAAATGATATGGACCTAACAGAAGCAAAAGATATTAAGAAGAGGTGGCAAGAATACACAGAAGAACTGTACAAAAAAGATCTTCACAACCCAGGTAATCACGATGGTGTGATCACTCACCTAGAGCCAGACATCCTGGAATGTGAAGTCAAGTGGGCCTTAGGAAGCATCACTATGAACAAAGGTAGTGGAAGTGATGGAATGCCAGTTGAGCTATTTAAAATCCTAAAAGATGATGCTGTGAAGGTGCTGCACTCAATATATCAGCAAATTTGGAAAACTCAGCAGTGGCCACAGGACTAGAGAAGGTCAGTTTTCATTCCAATCCCAAAGAAAGGCAATGCCAGAGAATGCTCAAACTACTGTACAACTGCACTCATTTCACACGCTAGTAAAGTAATGCTCAAAATTCTCCAAGCCAGGCTTCAGCAATATGTGAACCGTGAAATTCCAGATTTTCAGGCTGGTTTTAGAAAAGGCAGAGGAACCAGAGATCAAATTGCCAACATCCGCCAGATCATCGAAAAAGCAAGAGAGTTCCAGAAAAATATCTATTTCTGCTTTATTGACTATGCCAAAGCTTTTGACTGTGTGGACCACAATAAACTGTGGACAATTCCTCAAGAGATGGGAATACCAGACCACCTGACCTGCCTCTTGAGAAACCTGTATGCAGGTCAGGAAGCAAGTTAGAACTGGACATAGAAAAACAGACTGGTTCCAAATAGGAAAAGGAGTACGTCAAGGCTGTATATTGTCACCCTGCTTATTTAACTTATATACAGAGTACATCATGAGAAACACTGGTCTGGATGAAGCACAAGCTGGAATCAAGACTGCCAGGAGAAATATCAATAACTTCAGATAGGCAGATGACACCACCCTTATGGCAGAAAGTGAAGAAGAACTAAAGAGCCTCTTGATGAAAGTGAAAGAGGAGAGTGAAAAAGTTGGCTTAAAAGCTCAACATTCAGAAAACTAAGATCATGGCATCTGGTCCTGTCACTTCATGGCAAATAGATGCGGAAACAGTGGAAACAGTGCCTGACTTAATTTTTGGGGGCTCCAAAATCACTGCAGATGGTGACTGCAGCCATGAAACTAAAAGATGCTTACTCCTTGGAAGGAAAGTTATGACCAATTTAGATAGCATATTAAAAAGCAGAGACATTACTTTGCCAACAAAGGTCCATCTAGTCAAGGCTATGATTTTTCCAGTGGTCATGTATGGATGTGAGAGTTGGACTATAAAGAAAGCTGAGCACCAAAGAATTGATGCTTTTGAACTGTGGTGTTGGAGAAGACTCTTGAGAGTCCCCTGGACTGCAAGGAGATCCAATCAGTCCATCCTAAAGGAGATCAGTCCTGGGTGTTCATTGGAAGGACTGATGTTGAAGCTGAAACCCCAATACTTTGGCCACCTGATGCGAAGAGCTGACTCATCTGAAAAGACCCTGATGCTGAGAAAGATTGACGGCAGGAGAAGGGGATGACAGAGGATGAGATGGCTGGATGGCATCACCGACTCAATGGGCATGAGGTTGGGTAAACTCCAGGAGTTTGTGATGGACAGGGAGGCTTGGCATGCTGTGGTTCATGGGGTCGCAGAGTTGGGCACGACTGGGTGACTGAACTAAACTGAACTGTGCAATAATTAGAATCTTTTTTCTTAGTAGTAATATCTGTCCTTTTAGCCATTGAACTTGAGAGGCAAAAACATTTCCTCCAACTCTGAAACAGGTCAAATTTTTTAGGTATCAACATATCATAATATAAAACTTACCTTTAGATGTTTCCCAGCATACAAAAGAATCAATTAAAGACAAGCCTTGTTTATAATAAAATGTAGTTAACTCCAGCCAATCAGCATCAAGTGTACTAATGACAGAGCCTTTTCTTGTTACTTTCATTGACAGGATGCCTTCCTGATAGTTCCAGGAGGTTGATTCATCATCAAAAACATTGAAGACTGTATACAACTTGTTATCTAAGAATAGGTGTTCAGAAGGAAGAAAAAAGGAAAAGAATTACTAAAATTGTTTTTTTTTTAATTTAATTAATCATGAGCTATTTCAAGCATACAAATAGGCACAGAGAATAATAAAATTACCTACCATGCAAGTTTTATCAACTGTTAACTTTGGGCCATGTTTGTCTCAGAGTTTTTTCAAGGAAATAAGAGATGTATGCAGTTAACGCTCACGATGTATCTCCCCTAATCCTATTCTCCAGAAATAGCTACTGTAATGAATTCGGTGTTAATCATTCTCATGCAAGTACTTCTCTTCTTTAAAATACATATCTATACACATAAGTGATGTTTTGCAATTTAAAATTTTTAAGAAATGGTGTGTTGTATGTCTCAATCTATAAGTTAATTTTCTTGTTCAACATGATGCTTTAGAAGTGTAATTAATACATGTAGGTCTTGCTCATTTAGTTTAACTGTTACATCGCATTAGAGTTTACTTTTCTCCTACTGATGGAATTAGATATTATTACTGAATTTCTATTATTACAAACATTATTCATTCCTTGGATACGTATATGAAAGTGACTCCAGAATGCATTCTACTTTAAGTTAGCAAATTCTTAACTTGGAGGTCCATGGACCCACATCACTGGTTGTGCATTAGGAAGTCTAACGTCATTTGCATCACAGACAGTATTAGGGATATGTGTGTTATGTGTGTTTTTCTGGGTGAGTCTCCATGGATTTCATCAGACTCTCCAAGAAGTCTTTATTATGTGTCCACTCTCAATCCCCTGCACCAAAAGTTAAGAACCAAGCCCTGGCATAGAACAGTTATAAGGGTTTTAAAATAAACTAAATAGAAGGCAGAATCTAAAGGTTGATAATTAATTTAAAAGATGAGGAATAGACATTTGATCTAATCAAACTCAGGATGGGAATGAGCAGGAGTTTAAAAGTAGCCATGGATACCAAGTGGTGCTAGAGGTAAAGAACCCTCCTGCCAATGCAGGAGATGCAAGAGACTTGGGTTCAATCCCTGGGTCAGGAAGATCCCCTGAAGGAGGGCATGGCAACCCACTCCAGTATTCTTGCCTGGAGAGTCCCATGGACGGAGAAGCCTGGTGGGTTATAGTCCATAGGGTTGCAAAGAGTCGGACTTAGCATGCAGCACACATGTGGACAGAATATAATAGGTAGCTCTCTGACCATAACTCCAACACTTGTTCACTCTTTCTTTCCTAAATTTTTCACACTGCAGGAAAATCAGGGTGGTAGTTAGCTAAAGAACTGGTTTAAAAAAAATGGAATGGTGTTGGTGGTGGTGAGGTGGTGAGATGATGAGTTGGGAAATGCTCTTGGTTCTTTCTTAAGGAGGCCATGCTGACTATGGTCCAATGAGTGTCTGCCGTGCACAAATATTGAGCAATCTCACAACCCAAAAAGCTGATACCACCAGTGCATGTGGCCTCAGCACCAAGACTGATCAAAGGATAAGTTAATAGCAGCTAACTTAATACAGTCTATTCTGTGCTAGGCAGAATAAGCACTTTTGTAGACATCTCATTTCTATTTATCACAGCAACACCTTTCTATAAAGACACTGAGGCAGTCTGACTGTAAACTCCTAATTCTAAGGTTTACACAGTTTTTAATTTTTTTTATTAGTGCTTTTTAAAGCATGCCCATAAAAGTATCAGAAAACTTAGAACAGTCCAAAATTCTCTCAGTTTCTTGGGAAGACTTGCTAGCTGCAAAGAAGAATAAAACTATTGTTTAAAGTTATGTAAGGATGCAGGCACTATTGTTACATTAATTGTTTCACCATGATGTGCATTCTCATATTCTAATTGGTGATTAAAGGAAGCCAATTAACTTCAAAGGTGAAAACCATCCATGAAATGGGAAAGGCCAAAACTAAAATTCTCACAGACTCTTTTTAGGGAAAAACATAAATTAGAACAGCTTTCTTTACAGAATCACTTTTTTGGTACACATGCACAGCCTCCATTTTACAGAGGTGTTAGCTCATGACTAAATGGAACCCAATTTTTAACACAAAGTTTCATTACGTGGATGGTGTATGACCATGCTAGGGGTAACTGTTTGGAAAACTGCCCTACCTTACATCCATCTGTAATAATTAAAAAAAATCAAGACAAGTTTATACAAGTTTATTCATTAGTCTTCAGAGATATAATTTGTCTCATATTTGTTAAAAACCCTTCAAGACATATTTTTGCTAAATTTAAACGAATATAGATCCTATTTCTACTCTTCTTGTCTATTATTACCTTCTTTTCTTGATCTAGAGAAACTGGGGCTGCCATCTCGTTCCATTTGACAATGTCCTCTTTCATGATGTAGTTCTTCCTCGATTCCACTTTCAGATGACTGCCCACTTATTGTTCCTTCACTCCAGATTTTACAGTTTTCCTCTGGACTGTGTCTCACATGCAGTGTTGATTCAATGTCTCCATCGTGGTTGGTTCCATTGCAGAATTTAAGTGATGGGGAGTGCTGTGATATGAATCCAACAAATCTCATTCCTCTTTTAGCAGCTACATTAACCTGAGGTTTAAAAAGAGATGGTAGAACAAAATGTAAACTTCATTTACATTGATTACCTTATCAATTAATCTTTAGGTTTATTAAGGAAATCCATTAGGAAAGCAGTAAATCTACCAGTAACTAAAGGCCTATTCTTAAACAAACTAATGACCTCTAACACAGCACCAAGCCTAAGACAGTGTCACACTATTATTCTGACTTCTTCAAACAGAATTAATACACTTTAGAAATTATGAAAACAAGAATTGTATTTTCTCCAAAAGGTTATTATTTGGGAAGAACTGATAATTCTATAGCATGATTTTTGCAGCCCTGTTAACAATAGTTTCTGCAGTTGAAGTAAAATATAAAACTATTCTAAGAAAGGCTCAAAAATAACATTACCAAATACATCTTAATAAAGAAGAGACATTAATTTAAAAGCAGAAAACATGCAGCTTTGTTTGCTTGATGTAGGTAAAGAAAAATGTTAAAAGACATTCTTGACAAATGTGTATGTATGTGTATACATAAGCCAAATTCATTCTCCCACTCTGATCTGCTCATATCTTGAAGCTATTGTCTCCTTTCTGGGCCATAATTAGATTCAATCTTGTCAGTTACTGAGTAGGGTTCAGAAACACATGACAATGTCAGTGAAATCATTTGAGAGCTTAAGAGTGATTATTTTCACACTTGGCACTTTTCTTTCTCTGCTTTTGCATCATTTCTTTGTTCTCTTTGTGTCCTGTCTTCCTCCTGTGTTAAACACAATTCTTCTGAGGGTAGGCACTATCTTACTCATTTTCATGTTGCAATGTTTTGTACCTACAGGTGCTCTATAAGTATTTGTTAAATACGTTAAAATGAAGAAATAGCAACATCTTTTATATTGGCACTGCTTTAAATGTTTTATTTTATTTTATTTTTGGCACTGCTTTAAATGTTTTAAATGTACTTGGAAGGGGAAGAAAGAGTTATGATGCAGATTGCAAGTGCAAACATCTATAGTCAGAAATGAAGGGGAATGAAAAAGGCCAGTAAGCAGAGTGGTGAGGGACTTCCCTGGTGATCCAGTGGCTAAGACTCCGTGCTCACAGTGCAGGGTGCCCAAGTTCAATCTCTGCTCAGGGAACTAGATCCCACATGCACAATTAAGAGTTTGCATGCTACAACTAAAGATTCTGCATGCCACAGCTAAGACCATGTGTGTGTTCCAAGTCACTTCAGTTGTGACAAATTCTTCGCAACCCTATGGACTGTAGCCTGCCAGAGTCCTCTGTCCATGAGATTCTCCAGGCAAGAATACTGCAGTGGGTTGCTGCCCTCCTCCAGGGGATCGTCCAGACCCAGCTATCGAGCCTGTGTCTCCTACAGCTCTAGCATTGCAGGCGGATTCTTTACTGCTGAGCCACTGGGGAAGCCCAACTAAGACCTGTGCAGCCGAATAAATAAGTATTTTTCAAAAAAAGAAGCAGCAGCAGGGTGAAATCAGGCAGCAATGTCCACTTAAAGGGGCCGACTGTAACTTAGCTCTGGCTGAAGAGGAGGGAATTCTGAGCCAGGCAGAGGGTGTGGGTATATGGAGCTAGGACAAACACTGCTGACACAGTATCATTTACTCCTATAAATTAACACATTAAGATTGTAGCACTGCAAGAAGCCTCAAAAATAACCATAAATTGTTCTTTATATCAGGACTCCTGGGAGAGGAGAGGAGATGTGGTAAGGAGGCAGGTCAAAGTGCTTTTTCTAGGTCTTATTTGTTGATTTGGGTGAAAAAGTGCAGAAGGCTTTCTCTATTACTAAAAAGTTTTGTCTGGAAAAGTTTGGTTTTCTTATGGAATATTACTGTCTTTTCCATTTTTAATTTGGAAGACTGATGTTTTTAATGTTTTTTATTTAGAAATCCTAGGGAAAACATTTGTAAATCTAAATTTAAAAAAGAGCAAACATTGACATAATATTAAAATAACATCTAGCTGTTCAATAATCAACTCTTTATATAAGGCATTTGTTCAAAAATAGTATTTGGCACTTATCTATTGCTCTTGTTCATACACAGGGCAATGTTCAAACATTTCACATGCTATGTTTCCTGAAGCTGTTCTCTTCATAAAATAACCCCATTACTCTAATTGCTGAAATAACAGGACTTTCCTGTTTAAACAGATCTTTAACTTTGTTCAGGAAGTCAAATGCAAAACAAGGGCTCTCATGATGATCTATTAAGACTAAATTAGCAGTTTCATTTTTGTTTCTAGAGTGAATTTATTCCCATAAAAAAAAATTTCCCAGAATAGCAGTAGTAAATAGTGTGAGTACCTTGTTTATAAAAATCTAGTTTTGAAAACTGTTCCTAAAAAACCTTACTGAATGGTGACTTTATATCTAAATGGGAAATACTTAGCTGCTATAACTGGCAAAACACAAGCCACAGATAGTCTTACTCACATGGTCATTTAAAGCTTGGGAACAATACAATAGAAACAGTGAACAAATTTCAGTTTCTTATTTGACAGGAAATGCCTTAGGTTTTTGGCTGTATTCATTTAAATAAAGCTAAACCTTACACATATGTCAATGCAACTAAAGTTAAAAAAATCCAAATTTTAGCCATCAAATCCTGTCAACTTCAAATACTTATGAATGTACAATTTTTTCAATCAATATACATATAGTGTTCAATTTTTCATTTAAGGTTTATCAAGTTCTATTGAATAGATTTTTTCTCTCAATAGCCAATGTACTTGTCACGTTCAATGCCCATAAAGTATTCTATCTTATTGATAGACCATTGCCTCCTTCTCAGTTTTCCAGTTGTTGAGAATTTGGCCCCTGTTCACTGTTGATTAAGGTATCTTTGTATAAATATGACTTTTCCCTTTTCAGTTAATTTCCTGGAATAGATTCCTAAAAAGAAAAATAAAACAAGATTTATGATTTTTATTACCAAATTGATATTCACTGTACTAATTTATTCCAATGATAATTGCATTGTATATGAATATATTTGAATTTTTTCTTAAAGGTCTTTACAGCACTGAATTTAATATTTTCAATTTAATTTCTCAGTTCATACTGGTGAGGTATTACTTCTCAGTTTTTACTTACATTAAAAATTATTAGTTAGGTTGAACCCTTTGCGAAATGTTTCTTCATTATTTGTGTTTCCTTTTGTACTTTCTATGGATTGTCGGTCCATTCAAGACTGAATGTACTTTCATGCTTTTGTGTTCATTTCCTATATACTCTGAAAATGAAGCTTCAGTAAGGCACATTTCTTGACCATTTCTCTGGATTCTTTTTTTTTTTTTCATTTTCTTTTTTTCCTAGTATATAATTATATATTCAAAATTCCTCAACCTACTTTTATAATTAAATATGTCCAGTCTTCATCTTCTTTTGGATTTTTTGAACTTGAAAAACTTACATCTTTATTTTATGTGAAATGTGTGGAGTCTACCAATCGATTGCCCATTTTACCCAGCACCATTTACTAAGTAATAGTTATTCCTCCATTTTATTTATCAGGTTTGTTATGAAACTTTTTATATATGTATTAATTTATTTCTGGCATTTCCATTCTGTTTCACTGGCCTCTATTTCTGTTTTTAATTCTACAATTTGGTAATGTGCTTCAATTTGTTTTAAAGTCTAGAAGACAAAGTCACCTATCATTTCCCTGTTCTTTTTAAAGCAGGAAAGGAAACTGATGAAGAACTATAAAAAACACGTATTTTAGTACCTTTTCTATCAGTTCTTTTGTTACGTCATTTGTTTGTGTCTCATAAGTTAGAGGACATTCCTCAATCACAAGCCTTGGGCGTCTTTGTCCACTGGGTGCTGTCGAATGCTTCGTGCTGTAACAGAGAATATGTTTATGATTGGAAGCCAATTGCTAATTTTTAACTAATAAGTTCATGTGAAAATGAGTGAGCTACTCACAAATAAGGTCCAGGTATTCCTTTTTCTTTGTTATTTCAACTTATGGTTGTCTTCTTATGTAAAATTATCAGAAAAAACATAATAATTTCTATTGAGATTTCCTTGGTTAAAATCTCTAAGAATTTAATTTCTAATTTAACATGAAAGAAAAACTACATGTCCGTTGTTTTGATAAGTTATGAGAAATGATTTTAGATCACAGCTATACCTCATTATTGTGCAAAAGTGATCCTTTTTAAGTGCAGATAAATATTGTCCTATCTTTTTCTTCTTTTCTCACCTTTTCCCCTTGAATATTCTTAGCCATGGCAGGGAACTGCTAAATCTATTTGAAGTAATGCAAAAAGAGAAAAACAACTTATCCATGGTTTGTAAGATTTGTAGTTAGGACATAAAGTGTTGCTACTGTGTGGTAAGTGGCCTATTTACCTAGTAATGCTTGAACTAGTAAAGACCTGATGTGGCACCCTGTCATGGAGAAAGCTGTTTGTGTACATGTCCTCTCAGAATGTCCAAGTGGGCAGTTAGTTATTCAGTAGCAGACAGGATTCCTAAAAGCACATTGGGAATTTTTTTTAAAGCCTTTTCTTTTCCCACAATCTTTCTGTTTTCTCTCTTTCCCTCTTATTTCATTTTCCCTTCTCTGCTTAGTCCTTTCACAGTTAAAGTGATTATTAGTCCATCACTATAAGCAGAAAACACAATTCTACCCTCGTCTTTGAGATGATTTTGATACAGTTGAAGAGTTGTGTAACAAATATTTAATGTGTGTATCAAAGACATTGGTTTGGTTACTTTTACTTTTCCACCTGTAAGGAACAACAGTATTTTGAATACTATCAAATGTACAAGCTAGGTTAGGAAAAACATTTGTGGTATTGTCTGGAAAAGCAGCTATTATAATTTAAAAAGCTAAAAAAAAAAAATCTAAAAAGGATGACTTTTACCTCCTATTTTTTTGAAAAAGCTGGTAAGAGAGATCTCTTTTATGATCCAGAGAGATCCAGTTTATGAGAACTTAGCATGTAGGCCTTTTTGCTGTAGAAGTTTTGGAAATTAGTTTCTGTGGCCACTGTTAGTAAAACTACATCAGACACTTCAGAAAAAATGCTCAGTGAAAGGGGATTTGTTCAGTCAGCTCTTTCAGCCCAGCGACTGGAGGGAGCTAACTGTTACTCCCTCATCTGGTGAAGTTGCTACAGGAGTGTTCCCGCTCTTCTTGAGTCTATTTTCCTTTTCTTCTGTTCACTGACATCCTTACCAAGGACCTGTTTGTCTGCAAGGGACTCAATCCTGAGAAGTTTTAAGGAAGGAGATTGGCGTTTTCTTCTCCCAATCCAAGTTCAACTGTTGGAAAATGTGCCTTTAAGCCAAAACCCCTAAGTATCCTTTATTCTCCATCACTGTGTTCAAACTTTCTTTTCTTTTAGCCAAAGAAAACTTTCTCTCTTAACAGCTTCTCAGTATGACAGTTTTCTTGAGCACCAGCCTTACCTTAATTTCAAGCGCGACAGCACCACCCTGTATAGGTAACTTGCAGGCAAGTGTTTTTGCTGCCCCACAGGTTGTATAACAGGATGAATAGCTCCAACAATATATCCTTTAAGATAGTAGTCTTCCACTTTTGTTACTATATCAAGAATGGAATTTATCTTGATGACTTCTGGGTTTGGTGAAGCTGAAATATCAAATGCAAAGAGACATTTGCACATTCATAAAGTTGAACTATATATTAATTCTATCTATGTGTGATAATACTAATGAATAGAAAACACACTCATTCATGACTTAATCTCAAATAAAGTTACACTAACAGGGATTACATATTTTCTAAATTAATTCCAGAAAAAAAGCAAAAGTAATCTTAAAAGTTGGCAGATATATAGTATTATCAATATGTCTTAAAGTGGAAATACCTTATATATATATATGTATATATATATATACATATATATATATATGTATGTTTCAATTTCAATTAAGGCAATTTTATATTTTAGGATTTCATTTGAGTGACTATATTTTCATTAATAGATATAGAAGACATATATAAGAGAAAGAGTATTAGGTTTAAAAGCCAATTGTTTTTATGATTTTGGACAAGATGAGATGTAAAATTTCTTAAGAGTGATATTCACGCAAATCTAAAGATTAAAAATGGGAGAAATGATATTTGTTAAGCAATGCTTTCTTATTTCCAATTACACTTCAAAAACATCATGTTTTAAGTTTCTCTGGGAAACTAAAAATATGATTTCTTATGGCACTTACATAAATATTTGAGTAAAGAAATTGAAAAAGGTACCAGGATTTCTTTTTAATAAGCAGAAATTCTTAATACAAAGGAAATTTACATGCAAAATTTGGTATGCAGTTGAACCATCCCTTTGAAGCAGGACAAATCTGTAGAAACTATAGAGTAGTACAATCTGTATAGTTTTCAGTAAAAGTAGAAGGGTGTGTTATATGGGAAATGAATATTCTAGCAGTATTAATTTTAAAAACAACTTCTTTTTCTGTAACGTTATTTCTCACTTTCTGGAAAACCACCAAGAATTAATAGCTATAAATAGAGCTGTAATTTGGTTATCTCTTGAGCAACAAAACATGAGACTAACCCTAGGTATGGGCAGCGCTGGCTGCTGGTCTGTCAGCGTGGTCAGTGCATCCAGCAAAGGGCTGCTGCCCACTGCCCAGACAGAGGAAGCAGGTTAGGCAGCAGACAAGGAAGAAGGGTCAGAGGAAATCCCCACCGCCTCTCACATTCAAATCCACGTGATGGAACAGAAACACACCACTTAGGTTCATGTGGGTTCATGCAAATTTTCAAATGAAAATAAAGCACTCCAAGAAAAGTTATATAAACCATGATGAATCCATTTACTCAAATGTTCATCCTTTTTTGGATTTAAACTAATCTATATATAATATATTTTCATTATTATGAATAGGAATAAAAACAAAGAGAGTGATCCTGGGCTTGTAAGAAACAGCTGGATTTCATTGCAAAATGACCCAGTTCTGCCTGCTTGTGTGGCAATCACTCTGTGATTCATTTGGTTTTACTTTTTTAGTATTTAACTACCAACCCTGATTTCCAAACAAAGGAACTAAGAAACTATAAAAGAGAATAAACTGTTAAAGACTATGGAATGAAACGTAGCCTACACTTATTTTTAGACATCTATACTAATCCAATACAGCTATAAAGAAAATTTCAGTCTTTTAATGGATCTCACTGCTTATTGTAGGAAATGGAAATACTCAGCATAATACAGAAGAATCTTCAGAGTCTGGCCTCTATCTACTAACTCAGCCTTCAGTTGTGTCGTTCTTTTTCGTGTATGTCTTGCTTTGGCAGGACTGAATTACTGGTGTTCCTGAGCCAGGCACACTATTTCATGCCTACAGACCTTCGCTTCCTTTCCTCGTCCCCAAGCTGAGTTAATCACTCCTTCCTCTGTGCTGTGCATCGTACTAGTTCCCTCACCAAACTATATTATAGTTACTTGTTCATATATCTGGCTCTGCTGTTCGACTGAGAACTCCTTACGGGCATAAAACCAGAATCACTTACCATGAGTAGAAAGTTACATACCAATAAACGCAACAAAAAGAAAACACTTATCAGATTCTAGCAGGAGACTTCTTTGCCAAAGGCTGAGTCACACAGCCCTCCTCTATCTTTGTCAAAAGGGAGAATTAGCCATCTAATTCTAAACTGATTAGACAGCTTAAAAAGAACTGAAAAGAGCACACACAGCTTTCTGGTTATGAGATTCAATGTTAGTTAATTCTGTGTGTGTACAACTTAAAGGCATCTTATGTTTAGTGCTAAGTCTTTTGGTAGAGGCTTGGAGCCCCTACTTGGATAAAAGTAGCAAGAAAAGAGTGACAGCCTGCAAGGGGGCAGAGGACATCAGAGGGAATAAAATGAATTCTAAAACTAGATAAAAGAACTATAAAACTTTACAGTCTGAGGTCACTTAGAAGACTTTTTGCACTTCGCTGGCCCACTTGATAATGATAATGAAGTCATTCCCCCGGTTCTGTTGTTTCAGAACACTGTTTCAAAGGCAGACTTTGCAGCACATTAAATGCAATCACGGAGACGGTGGCTATAACAGAATGACATCTCTACTGCTCAAAGAGATTTCCATTCAGAAGAGAATGTATTTCTGAGGAACACCCTGTTCTCTGGTGATGTCAGAGAAGTTTTGTGACAATGGAACAAATCCAGCTTTTCTGGTCTAATCTACATCCTCTTGCACTCTCAGTGAAGTAAGGTTATTGTCTTGAGTTCAATGCAAAAAAAATGTTAATGCACAAAACACAAACACACAAGAGAGAGAAGTTTTGGGAGGAGTTACAAACTGAGAAGTCCAAGAAAGCCACAAACAGGGTAAAGGAAAGTTGTACATCAATACTTATAAGCATATCTTAGCATAAGTTTTTGTAAACATCATATCACTTTGGGCCCAGTGCTTTACATTAATTATTCAACTGTCTCAAATGTGCATGTTCTTCTAATTGGAGGTCTGTGTGTCTTTTGATAAATTGCACTCAGCATAGACATGGCAATTATCGTAAATGCTTAAAATATGCTTATTAAAGGACCAGCTGTATGAAAAACTGGTTGTAACATTAACATATTCAATGAACAGAGCTCCAGGGTGCTCATGGAGCAACAGTTTAGAAAACAGATTCTATGGGGAATTCCCTGGTGGTCCAGTGGTTAGGACTCTGCACTTTGACTGCTGAGGGTTGGCAAGGTACTTTGCAACCATGTGCCTCAGTTTCCTCATCTGCGAGGTGAGAATAATAGTAGTCTCTATAGGGTTGTTAGGATTGAATAAATTTATATTTGCTCCTAGAAAGTATCTGGCATGTAGCTAGCATGTGCTATACAACTGTTGGCTGCTTTGTTAAATAAAGTCCTCTCCTGCAGAAAGAGGGGCAGCACACTATTCTCACTGTTAGCGTTAGGATCGGGAAGCAAATCACCTGGGCTCAAATTATGCCATATACTAGATCTGGAATCAGTTACTTTGCCTCTCTGAGATGGGGACAAATCAACTTCATAGAGTTGCTTTGATAGTAATTATAAAACATGAGCCCAGGGCCTGGTACAAAATAAACACACAGACATCAGAGATGTGTCTCTCTGTTGGTGGCCCAGCTCAGAAAAGATGGTTTTGAATGGAAGCTGTCCTCAGAGACAAGTCATTGTTGGTTTAAAAAAAATCTCCAGGAAGAAGTTTATTGTAGAGATCTGGACTTATTTCAAAAGCCCAGCCTGGCTCCCTATCTGTAGAATTCTAGATCAGAGGCCTTTAACTCACACTCTAGACCTCAAATCCCTAACTCACCCTGTAGATTAGGTGTCCCCAGCTCACTCTCCAGACCAGGGTCCCTAACTCACACCAATCTACTCCATGGAGTCCCAGACTCAAATGTCCAAAGGTACCAGCTTGATAAAACAAAGAAAGGGGCTGTGCTGGAGGAGGGACCTGGGGAGACTTAACACCTCATCTGAGGGTGCAGCAGCCCTGGTCCAGTAGTTGCCATGTGGCAGGTGGGCCCAGTGTCACCGAATCTTCTTAGTGGAGACAGGAGGATGGTGGTGAGAGAGGGCTGGGATTCACTCTCTTGGCAGATTGTCTTTCTTATCCGACATTGTGACTTACCTTAAACATGCCAGTGTCATTCAAGAAAAGTAAACCCAGGAGCAAGGAAAAGAGAAATAAATCTGGAAGTTTTGTTGAGAATATCCCTTCATGTAATCCCCTCTATTCTTAATAATGCTTTAAACTGTGCTGAAAAGAGACTGGCAACCTGATTCAGCTTAGAGATGTGAGGAAGGGCGAGCTGCGCCCACAGAGTGAGGTATTTTCATCAGCGCTCACTAGAGTGGATAATTACGTCTCTGTGATAGTCAAGCCTTTGATTTGATCTCCTTACACTGGGGCGGTAATATCAGAGACTCTATTACTTTAAAACACAGGAAATTAGGGGGGAGGTGTGGTTGTTTTGGCTAGAATGGAACAGCACAGGCAGTCAGCAGCAGCTGCGAGCCATCTTGCTCTTAGCTCCCCAACCACCAAGAGCTCCTTCTCAGTTCCTCGGGAGAAGGAACAAACGGTGATGTTGACAGCATTAATGGGTGGGGTTGGTTGCTATTCAATCAATGCTACGTGATTTGTAAAAGCTTTAATTTACCTTACAAGGCCATTGTGAAGGAAAGTATTTTGTAGTTGCTTTGAAAACTATCCACATGCAGTCTACATGTAAACATGTAGAAGGTTAAGTAACGTTCTGTCATTTTTCCTCATAGTTTCTGAAATAAAATATCAGTACAGTATACTTTTTTATGGTCCTTTGCTTAAAAACTTCAGAGATAAAGATCAAATTTTAAAAATACAAAAAAGTCACATTCTTTTAGTATAAAGCTAAGAACTTGTTCAATACCAAAAGCTTCACTCTGATGATGTAACTCTATGAAAAAAGTCCAAGACATATAAATGTGTTTTTTTGTGAAGATTGGTATGTATTTTTGATATATTTATGAAACATTGTTTCCTCAGATAAAAATATGATGTGCAAACACTGGCAAGTAATTTTACCATATTTTCAAAAGGAAACAGACTGTCAAATTCCATATTATATTTAGCAGTTATA